GACCAGGGAGGGCTTGGAGAAGTCCGCACAGGAAGATGCTCATTACACTTGCTCGGGGGACAGTACAAGGGGCAGCAAGAAGCCCAATGGGGTGTGAAATGCCACCTGAGAGGGCAGCACCTGTGGGGAGAGTGACACGGCCTCCTGCTCTGAGGCCTGGGGACCAGGCGGGGTGCTCAGGTCCACGAGAGCCCGCTGTCGGGGCCACCAGGAAGGCTCGTGCTCCACTGTGAGCTCCTGGTACGGACTCTGAGAGCAGTCTTCAAGGTCAGAAACTGGATCGTGATAGAGAACTCAAAGGCTTAGCTCCTTGTTCAGAGTCTCACTCAGAAGCCACCTTCTCACACGCTGCGGTAGGAATACGCTCGTTCAAGGCTGACACTAGGACTGGAGTGTTAAGGGGCACGGTTGAGGGGGGGTGTGGGGAGGGCTATGATTAGTGTGAGGGGCTTTATGGGACAGGCGTGCACAGTGAACTCGTGTAAGAGGGGAAAGAGGAGGGTGGTTTCCCAATTTTTCTCCAGATTGCTCCATTAATGGACTGTTGTAGAAATGCTTTATTCAGACGGAACGATTGTACACCAGCAAATCCAGGAAAATGCTTTATTCAGACGGAACGATTGCACACCAGCAAATACCCCAATGGAAAAGGAAAGCTTCTCTTGCTGACTATGCAAATATAGGTGACCTCGGAGCTGGAGGAGGAATGGTACGGGGATCCTTTTAGGAACTGTTTGATCAAATATGCCACCCCCACCAAAAAACAGCATAAATCGAAACCACGATGAAGCAGGGACTGAGCCCTCCCTGTGAGCTCCCCCGCCCCCAAGGGCCGCGCATTGTTTCCCGAAAAGTGAGGTTGAAGGCAGTGGGTCCCACGGCGGCGGCATTCCTGGGGGTTCTTTCTGTTGTGCTCTCCCAAGGGGCTCCATGTTTTAAAAGACTTTTGTCCTCTAAATGGTCGTGTTCACTGTATGTCCTGAATGGTACGAGATGCTCTTTTGGGGCACCCCCATGAAGAGGAAAGAAGGGAGCGAGGGCGAGCAATAGCACCATATCAAAATGTGTGTGTCTATTCCAGATGCACCCCAATTTCAGAACCATTAGCTGTAAAAGGAAGAACGGCTGAAGGAACCAGTGAGGGAGCCTTATCTTTCAATTCCATTTCCCCTGCACACTTTCTGACGCCCCTCCAAAGCATTTCTCTCCTAAATGCATCGCTTCTGGAACTCTCAACTAGAGAGCCTTCGAGGCACCTGAAGGAAAGCCGCAGAACCACAAGCCTGAGCAGCACCAGGTGTGTCTTTTGCCTCCACTGGGAAAGGAAGGGTGTCCAGGGTTTTCAAGAAAGACTCCCTCTTCTACCCCATGGCTAGAATGATCACTTCCGAATAAAGGACACCTGGCTCTAGTAAGGGGATCGCAGAGGACTGTGAAAGGAAGGAAGCACCCCCCCCCCCTCTATGCACCCACTGGCTATTAGGTCCACGCATCCTTGTCACATGAACCAGAAGACCCACTTTTGCCCTAAGGCTACAACTCATTTTCACAGGAGGAAGACTGTGTGACCAGAGCAGGAAGCCAGAAGAGAGAGCAGACCAGGCAGGGCAGGAGGGAGGCAGAAGGGGGCAGAAAGCAGGCTCACCCCGAGCTGGGACTGGATCTGCTCCAGGGGCACCCGCACCATGGACTGGAGTAGAAAGACGACTCCTGTCGCCACTTCAGGGCTCAGTCTACAGCACACACAAAAATAAAGCCTCGGGTCCTTGTCTTGAGTGTCTATGGAATAAGCAGTCCCGCTCTCTGGATAAAGCCTCCAGTGGACACCCCCCGACCCCACTATAGGCCGGGGATGTGAACGGCTTTGCTCTCAGATGGAGTGCACTGTGCACTGGAAGGTCGACTCTGGCAGATGTTGATAGGTTAAAGTTTAACACCACGTCATCTGATGTCTCTTTTGACTCATTTTAAAGTTGTAGTTTTTAATATATTTGGCTTTCTTTTCTCTATTTCATTTTGTTATTGTTGTTAGCTTTTTTGTTTTTGTATATTTTTAGGTATATGAGATCCAGGAAGGGTGAATTTATAG